GCAGGAATTCTGTTGTAGGAGAGTCAAGTAGGCGCGAAGCTAATATACTGTCTCATTTATTTACTCTGCATTTCCCTGCTCGGAAATATCCAGGGAAAGGCAGGTCATGGCCACCGTTTTAGGAAACAACAGAAAGATCTTTACACCTGGGAGACAGGTTAGAATGTTGACTCTAACTTGAGATGAGCGGGTACCAGTTAGGCAGGGGTACATTTCTCCTGGGTCTCTGGCTGGTGAACATTTATCATTTGCTTCATGAAAAGCCAAGAAGCTTTCAGAGACAAGTACTTGGTTTACCTTCCCAACCAGGTAGAAACCAGACAGGTCCACAGAAGTTGGCAGTTAATGCCAGTGGTTCAATAAGTACTTGCCCAAGATGTTCACTTCCTGGGGGCTCAGCAGGTTTACTATCACACTGCCTAAGTAATTCAGAGAACTGGGAGAAATAGAATGAATACCCCCAGGAAAGAGATTAATTCAAATCATTCTAATAAATGACATGTAGGCCCGGGAACATTTCCCAAATAGTTCCAGCTTGGCTAAGTGGTTGCTTTCTAGAGTGTGAGATTTCCCTCAGAAGGATGAACATGAGGTTTAGAGTAAACATAATAAACATCTTAAATGGGAATCTTCAGATCATTTGCAAAGTGAAAAGTATTTTAATATCTTTAAATGGAATATACATAAGTAGTGGAATTTAATATAAGTACTTTACATGCTGCTAGTCAGTAACTTTGATTGTTGCAATTTTATGGAACGTGGGTTAATGGGACTGCTTTTTTTCCTAAGTGGCTTTAAAAAAATCTTTAAATGCCAATCTTAGAATGTATAGTCCTTATGGGATTCTTAAATTTTGTCTTTGTTCAAGAAAGCTTTTAATTAGAAGGTTGGTTTTGTTTTGTTTTTCATTGTTTTGGGGCTAGAAATAGGTTTCTCTAGTTAAATTTGTTCTCCCTTAGTTAACTTTGAGTTATCCAATTCATGGAATATCTGTGGTGAAATTTTAATCGTAAAATCTATTCACTGAGTGTTCATTTAAGTAGGGAATGTCTAAACATACTGATGACTGGGTAAAACAGGAAACATTTTGAGTTTATGGCCTAAATGCAGTCAGTTATGGGATTTTGGTCTCTCCGATTTTATGGGATGAGAATTCCTAGTGGCAGGATGCCATGCTGTGTTACAACACTGTGTCCTATGCAGCTGGCATTCCAAGCACTGACCTCTTAATTTGAGTGGCCAGTCCCACTACCACCATCCCTGGCCCGGTGTTGCACATCCGGATACTTTGGCTCACCTGGACATAAGGAAAAGTCCTCACTTCTTCCCCAGCTTACCTCTCAATCTTGGTTCTTCCAGAACACACTTCTTTTTCTTAATGCAAGTCAACTGAAAAGCGAGATTTGATAGATGGAATCTTGTGACCAATTTACCTGACATACATAGAATTTAAAAGATTCCTGAATTCCACCAGTAATACTGAAAAGCACACCTAAGGCATAGCTTTTTTGTTGTAGAAATACAGTATATGTTCATTAAAAAAAAAAAATGGACGTGCAAATTGCATCTCCATAGGAGATACACTTCATACATTTTGCTGTTTTTTTCCACTATGGATTTCTCTTTGTTTCTCTCTTGTTCTTTCTCTGTGTCACTGCTGTATGTCCTAGTATCTTTCATACCTCTTGTGTAGTCTCTAAGCAGAGAGCACCCAAGTCCTGGATTCTTGGTAATGAAACCCTCACTCTGTCTGTGGGGCCTATGAAATTAGGAAATATTGGCGCTATTGGCTTGTTGGGTACAGGGCTTCCTAGAATTGTCAACTGTCCTTCATAGACTGCATTTTATGTTGTGGCTGTGTTTTCCTTTGACAGGTAAGCGCCATCTGTGTTGCTAGTCATGATACTGCCGTTGTTTTCAGTGTTCTGTAGGCTGTCCCCTAAGCTACTTACATATTTTACAAGTTTGCATTAAATTTGTTGAACTTTGTATAATCAAGTCACTTCTCTGCTCAGAAATGCACAGTAACTTCTTAGTAAGCCCCCATATCAAATGCATACTTTCTGTCTTCCTCTGAACGTTACTCCCACTTCTACCTAACAGGGACCTCAACTTAATTCTCTTCAGTTCTTCAAGGCCTTGCCCCACTCCTGGCTCCTCAAGATACCTTGACTCTAGGGCCTATTTCATTGCCTATGTTCTTTGAATCCCTATGACACTTTGAGTCTGTACAACATACTCTTACACCAAATTATGTATTGTATTGTTCTTAGCTGGTACATGTAAATTAGTCTTGTCTCCTTCATGAGAATGTAAAAGCTCCTTAAGAGCAGGAACCATGTCTTAAATTTTTGTATCCACCAGTGCCTAGCATAGTGCTTGGCACATGGGTGCTGAATAAATATTTGTTTATTGATCATCAAACTATTATCTGGTATTTTTAATTATAGAGGGATTAATGTATGTGCATGCAAGCTTGTACCTAGTTGTTGAGGCTTATGACTGTCTCAAAGTGGGATGGAGCAAAACAACATGATCAACAGCAGGGGTTTGGTGGTCCGACCAGCCAGCCAACAACAATGACCACCAGCTGGTATGGTCACGGTAAGAACAGATAGTTAAATCCATGGACCATTGCAGAGCAGTTAAGAATGAGATGTGTCTGACAATTCACCTTTTAGAAGAAGAGCCCAGATATTCCTTGAATAGCTATTAGCTTATGACCATCTGCATATGAAAGCCACTTAACCACAAGAGACTCCTTTTGGAGGGACAGCAGATTTCAGACTACTTATATGAGGGATTGGGGGAGGGGGCAATGTGTGTAACACTGCTTAATGCCAATACAGGATTTTATTTTTCAACTCTTTGTTCCACTTAGCTTTGAAGCTGCAGAATAGTTGGGTCATTAGGCCAGAAATTATGAATGAATTACCTATGCATGTGGTTACTTTTGCCTGCACCGTGGTTTTTGTGGGGTTTTTTGGTTTTTGAGCCAGTGTTTTAAATTGACAGATTTCACATGAAAATCTTCATTTGGGCCTCTTCTTAAAAAAACAAAAGACTGGAAGATCTGGCAATACCAGGCCTGCATGGCACCTGCTGCTGAGAGATAACTAGTGGCTGTATCTAGAGACAGGGCACTTGCTCTATCAAGAGACTATTTCACTCATTTATATTACCTACCTGGTACTCTTGTAATCATTTGGAGCATATGTCCCCTCCAATAGGTTACTCTGGAAAGCACACTGGGAAGGACTGAGGTCTGTCTTTTACATACTCAGAATCCGTAATTTGAGAGCTAACAGATATTGCTATGGTCTGAATGTCTGTGTCCCCCCAAAATTCATGCTGAAATCCCAATGCCTGATGTGATGGTATTTAGGAAGTGACGCATTTGGGAGGTGCTTAAGTCATGAAGTGGAAGCCTCATGAGTGGGATTAATGCCTTATAAAATAGCTCCAGAGAGATTCCTAGCCCCTTCCATCACGTGAGGATGCAGCAAGAAGGCAGCAGCTATGAACCAGGAAGAAGGCCCTCGCCAGAAAGTAACCATGCTGGCACCTCCAGAACTGTAAGCAATAACTTTGTTGTTGATAAGCCACTCAGTCTGTGGTATCATAGCAGCGTGAAAAGACTAAGACAGTTGTTTCCATTTAATTTGGGGTTGACTTTCTAAATTAATACTTAGAAGGAAGTAAAATTTTGTCAGTTATTCTTAAATATGTATCTGCTATTAGTTCAAATTGCACATTATCAGTAAACCCTGGTCTCTATACTACCAGCAACTGGAGAAAAATTACCTCTGACCTGGAGGAAAGGGGAAGGAGGATTTTTAATAGGTTCATAAATAGGGCAAGTCTCATGGAAATGAACTTCAGAAGATGCCTGATGTCCTTCACATGGGTTGAAGCTTATGATGAATTCTCTGGAAATCACTTTTCCTGTATGCAGAGCAAATAGCTGCTTGCTGGTCTTTCTGTGGCAAATTAGCAAATTCTCTAAGAGCTCTGAATTTAGGAGGGGAAGGAGGAACTAATCATATTCTACTTTCCTGCTGGAGTTCTGAATCTTTTCATTGATTGGCGTGTGTATGATGGGGCTGGGAGCCCCGTAAAGAACTTGAGAGTCTGGCACGAATATTTTGGGAAAGGAAGGATAAAAGACAATTTTAGTTCCATCAGACTCCCTCTTT